CCCGCCTTGTGTCCCCCTCGCCTCCTTCCGCAGCCTCCTGCCGCAGCCTTTCCCCTCGCTTCGCAAGAACGAGGTTTGGCATGTGAGGGTTTCCCGGTGCTCCCCTCAGAAACGCGAGAGCAGCTCCACCCCAGCAGCACCCGCACCTGTCAAGGCATCGGTGATATAAGATTTGATTCTCTGTGGGCCTTTATAGACTATGTGACAGCTGAGGAAATTGCTATGTTCATTCTTCTCTCTGAAGTTTAAACGGCACGTGGGTGAGCAGGAGGAGGATGCTGACCTTTGGATCGGGTACTCTGCCTTTCATCTGGGTGACTACAAGAGAGCGCTGGAGGTAAGGTGGCGAAATCCCGCTCCTCAAGATTGGAAATCAGGATGCGGTGAGAAAGGGATCACAACAGGAAGATGTTCTGTAATAGGGAACGGTTCCACAAGACAGTTAAGCTACAAATGTACAGTAATAAGGCAGATGCTGTGGAAAGCATTTTGGATTGAAAAAACAAGGTATATGCCTATGAAAGTAGACCTTCTTTAATGTTATCTATTGTCTGATTTCGTACTAGGCTCAGTAGCCTAATTTGCCCTTTAAAATGTCATTGTTGGTGTCCTAAATTTTCCGTTCCCTTTTTGCAGCTGTTTTTTTTTTCAAAGTTTTGTTTTCCAGATTTAATTATGTATTTGTCTTCATTTCGTAGTTTAGCTGTAATATACATGCTTTTTTAATTCTTGTTTCAGAGGTTGATGCCCCTGTCTCTTCAATATACTTTATTGTTCTTCTCTATGTTTTCTTGTATTAGGTAATTCTATGAAATGAGACATTCTCCTCAAGCTTTAAGTCACTACAATATATGTTAGTTATTCAAATACACATACATTTTTGATGTTGGCACCATCCAGGGCTGTTGTATTTCTTTCAGTGTAAGACTTCATATGCAATTCTTTCTCTTGTGTCCACGTGTGTCTCCAGTTAAACTCAATTTGTTGCCCAGTGTCCCTGGGATCTCTTATCTTTTTAGTTGTGCTAGTGTATTTCTCTGTATAAGTCCTTACAAATTTTTGTTGTCTGCCTTGCTCTGTACCTCCAAGGGCTGCAGTGTGCACACCAGCACAGGGACTGTTGTTGGAGTGATGTGGTGATACTCAGAAGGCTGTGTATAACTAATGAAGATTTGAAAACAAGTCAGTCTGCCTGAGTATTGCTTGTCTCATTGCTGTATTCTTACTGATGTGAATTGCTGGGTCCATCCAATGCTGTATTGCATCCTTTAAGGTTTATTGCTTTTTGGTCAAGGACAGCTCAGGGAGATCTCTATCACGATTCACTGTGAGCACAACTGTGAAGTATAGTTGGTTTTACAGTCTGCTACTTCTTCCAGGGAAAGTAAGGTAAAAAACAGGTTATAAAGTATTTGCAAAGGGAAATAGCCATATAGATTATAGAACACTGGTGATCTTTTTCCTCTTGGATAAAATTAGGCGCTTAACTATAGTAATGCATGGTCACAAGCACAAGAGTCATATGTGAGATAGAAATCAAATTTCTAAAGCTAACAAATAAGTTCACAACAATACACTTTCCCCTTAAGAAATTGAGGAAGAAGTATCCTTTGGAGATGTTAGAAATGCTCAGTGAATCAGATTAACAGTATCATAGAATTATAGAATCATAGAATTGTCAGAGTTTGAAGGGACCTTAAAGATCATCTAGTTCCAACCCTGCTGCCATGGGCAGGGACATCCCCCACTAGATCAGGCTGCCCAGAGCCCCATCCAGCCTGGCCGTAAAAACTTCCAGGGATGGGGATACCACCACCTCTCTGGTCAACCTGTGCCAGTGTCTCACCACCCTCCTGGTGAAGAACTTCTTCCTGACGTCCAATCTGAACCGATCCATCTCTATCTGGATCTGTGTATACACAGTATGGAATGTAGAATAGTAATATAGAACATACTGGTAACTTAATATTCATATTTAGAGTTGTGGAATTTAAAGATTGTGAATGTAATAGTTGCTGCAGTTAATTTATACCTTGATGTTAGATGTTAATAGGAAGTGAAAGTTTAAAAAAAAAAAGAAAGTTTATATACAAACGAAAAATAGCATGTAGTTTCTTTGAAATAAATTCTGATACTTGGAACTCCCTGTAGGTGCTTTTATAGCCAGAGTAAATTTTAAATGTTTCCTTCAATGAGAGTAACAGCATATTTTTATTTTTTTTTAAGATTAGATTTTGTCTGTCATGTTTGATTCGCCACTAGGTGATGCTGTTGATTCAGGCGTTTAGAAACAGTCAGTCCTCTTTCTCCTGTTTTTCTGTCCAAGTAGGGACAATAAAAGGTTTGTATGCATGGTTCGTGGTTGGTTTGTTTGTGTATGTGTGGTTTAAGTGAGAGATCACAGGGTCCATCTTTTCAGATTTAAGACTGATTTTTGGCACTATGATGAGTTCTGATAACTTTGTCATTTTGTGGTGGCATGTGGGAAGTGAATCTGTGTACCTCAACCTGGTTTCTTTTGGGACAGAACACTGTAATTGTAATTTCCAAGCCTGTAGTAATCAAAGGGAAGAGTAGTGAATGTGGAGGCTGAATTGCCTTTCAGTTATCACCTTCAAGGTTGAAGTGTCATCTGTATCTTCTCAACAGAGAAGATACAGATGCATTGTTGCTGTATTCTCAAGGATAAATTCATTGATTCTTTATACTCTGTTGATGTTGGAGCACTCTTTTGAGACTGCCAAGAGCACTGTAAATAAAATACTGCAGGCAGAAGATTCTGCACAATTCTCTAGAGTGATATTACATAAAATCTGAATGATTCACACTCCTGCAAGCCTGCAAGTGACAGTACATAGTCCCTGTCACTGTATTTCAAGTTCATGGTTTCTCTCCCGTATACCTGATAAGTGTCTTTAGCAATTATCCTGCTCAATAATCCTTATATTTATAATGATACTTTCATAGTGAGCCAAGTATGCTAGTTGCATGGCAAATTTCAGAGAGGCCTGGGAGTTGGGATGAGGTGGCCATCATGCGCTACTGGGCGAAGCAGGGGAAAAATGAAAGTCACACAGACCTCCAGCTCCAAGAATTTCTTCAGAGAGACTGACAGCAAAATATCTGGCCCGTTCACGTGAGGTAATTCACATCCTCTTAGCATAGGCACACTAACAGTCAGGTATTCTCCAGGTAGAGCACTAACTGCAGCTTCACTAGAGTAACGCTTTCACCTTCTTAGTAGGTAAATTTCTTTCTCAAAAGACATGCCACCAACACTGGTTTGGTGGAATCATCCCTATTGCTCTATACCAGTTTACAAATGGTACTGCCCTGGACTTGACTGTTCCAGCAGTCATGGTGACAGTCCCTCCCTGGGGACTTCCAGCTTCCTTCACTGACAAGTGGATTTTTACTAACACTGAGTGTCTAGTGTCTTCCTGGCATCAGATGGCAACCAGAACTCCCCTAATGGATGGCAGCATCTAATTAGTTTTCTGAAGCCTTCCACAACTACCATCCCTAATGGGGGAAATATCCACCTGTCTTTCTGCCGTGACTTGTTCATAGCACTAATCTCAAACCTTTCCTGAAAAGTTTCACCAGAATCAGACCAGAATCAGAGCATTACCCTGATGAATCTGTTTCTAAGCTGCCTGATGTTATGAATTGAAGCAGCTGGGGCCTATGAACAGGAGGACTAAAAGACGTATTTGAGGTATTGGCAAAGGGAGGAATTGGCAAAGGCAGGTGCACCACCGGTTTAGATTCAAGAACAGGTTTCACATTTGCACTCTGCACCCTCTGGCTGGGTTTAGGCACGCAGGATGGTACAGCTGCCAGACAGGGTAATGCCATTTTGGCCCACCAGCTGCACATGAGAGCAAAGAATGATCCCTGGGACAGAGCCTTCAGTGCATCGATTCTTTCAAAATCTGATAAACTCCAGGCAACAATTCCAACTGTCTGCTGCCTCCCTCCTGCAGAGAACGAGGACCCATTCCACCTCTACTCTGGCCAGGACCTTCTGCCTCCCCTGACTTTGCTCAGGATAATTTCAGTCGAATAGTAAATCATTAAAGGAATGGGGCTGTACTAGAGTAATGGTTCATCCATGAGCAGTATCTGGTCTCTCTTGAGTGCTTCTGCTGGAAGTGTAAGCGTACAGGTTCCTGACAGCTGAAGCTAGAAAATGAAAGATGGCTTTTTGGCTCGGGAAAGTTTTCTAGGCTTCTCTATCATGACTGTAGCCAGGTTATGATGGGTATCTCCACACCTCATTTGAGCACTTGTGGGGCAGTCCTGTAGGTTACCCTGTTTATTGGCTCTTCAGAATCCGTGTTTATGGGCTTAGAAGATCCAGAAAAGTAATAAGGGCACTAAGTAGAATCCTGCTGACCTCAGCATTGTCAGTAGGTGTCCATAGTTGTAGGCAATCAACCTGGCAGCCTGCTTTTAAGGAAAAGTGTGTGTGTCTTGGGATAAGGGAGAGAGGTGTAAGAGAGTGTTATGCAGTTGTTATGCTCCTAACTGGCAAAAATATGCCACAGGTTGGCTGCTGGGAAAGCTCTTGGAATATTTAGTCTGTTTGGTTTTGTTGTGATTTCGTTTGTTTGGGGTTTTTTTGAGAAGAGAGGGAAAAGCTCTTGTGAAGTAGTCTTTAAGAGACTAGTGCTGAGTGCCTTTTAGTGAGGAAAGGGGCAACAGCACATAGTCTGGGCTCATGGCAGGGAACTACAGGGTAAGGAGCACTAATAGTCCCCATTTTTATTTACTGTATTTCAGTAGATTCACATTGGTACTGCTAGAGCGCTCTTTATTTATTGCTTGCTTTGAATGGCCAAGCCAGAACATGACTTGTGTTTATGTACTTTGTCTTTTCTGATTAATCTGCCTGAAGCCATAGCCAAAAGAGACCTTTGGGGGCATTTAATCTGAACAGATTTTGAAAGATTCCAGATGGTCCACATAAACAGCAGCAGCCTGTCTCTCAGGGCTCCATGACTGGCCTACATCAAGATAAAACTAGCCTCACTAGGAAAGTGTGGCCTTTATGTAAGTGTTCTCTCTCTTTTTTTTCTTTTAAACTTTTCTTTGTTTGTTTGTTTGTTTGTTTATTAATTTTAGGTCTTCTTGAAGGACAGATAGTCCTTGAAAGACTAGCAAGATTAAGCTGGCTTTTAAGGACATGCCTCACCAATATCTTCTGCGTTATGTTTGCAAACTATAAACTTCACTGTTGTCAGCATGTGTCTGTTCTTGGGGTTCACTGTCCTTTGGGCATAGCTGATTTCGTCTCGTGGTACATATATACATCTGTGCCTTTCCCCGGGGGTAAGAATACATTCACCCATAGTGGCACGATCAGGTAAACTCTCCTCAGGCAGAAGGAAATTCCAGTTTGTATGTTTGGAGGAGGAGTTTGGAGTCAGACAGTGGTTGCGTGGCTGGGAGGGATGAGAGGGTTATGGTGGTTGGAAGGGTATGGATGGCACTCTTTCAGCAGGTCTTGTGAGAACCTTGCGTGACGCTTCCTGCTTTGCCTTACGCTGCCTGTTGGACGTGGCTGGATGGAGAGCAGGAGCAGCAGCAGAAGGCACTTTCACTGGGAGGGACCTTCCTAGTAACTTAAAGGAAAACTGAGAGGAAACAAAGGCACTGAGAGGTCTCCCTGCCTCTAGTTTTAGTGCCTTTTGTTATGCAGAGCAGCGATGAGCTTCAGGAATGTCACTGTTTCATAGCTGCAACGTTTTTCTTCATTAAAAAAGCAGGTTGAAAGGTTGATTGTTAAGTGTCTTACTGTTTCACAAATAACAAGAAATTAAACAGTTTATATGACAGTATTAAGGGATATGTAATGAATATGGATGTGTAAGAAGTGTCAGAGTACGGTATCTAGTGGTTTTGTATAGCTGTTGACTGCAAGTCTTAAAATGGGAAATGGTAAAGTTAGGCACAGTTTAGTAATATTTGCTACAATTATATCTTTATCTGTTATGAAATCTTGAATTTGCCCAATGCCTGACTTGTAGTCTTGTATTCTAATGCAGTCGTCTCCAAACAGATTTGATCAGTAAAAGATTTTTGAGCACGCTTCCCCAATATACATGCATCTATCTATAGATTATATATATGTACTACTCTACTGGTATGTTATGTAATTATGAAACATACACAAAATAGAAATTTTAAAAATATGAGATTAAATAAACACTTTTAAAATTTTTGTTTTAGTTATTAGTAGTACAAAACAAAATTTATTTCTGCACCTGACGGTATTGTATTGCACACCTGCTGGGGTGCACACACCCCACTTTGGAGACCACTGTTTTAATCTATACTAGAGGTTTATAAAAGCATCTTTAACACTTGGTCCAGTAAATATTCACAAATTTCCCTGGTGTTTGTGGCTGCCAGGCTTTGACTGGCAGAGAAGTTAGAATGATATTTAATACAAGTCTATGCTATTACACATTTTTAAAAAATCAACCCTCTCTTCTGTTGCAGGAATATGAGGCCTTAACCAAACAACCATCTTGCAGTCCAGATGTTTGGGTGAACCTTGCCTGCACATACTTCTTTCTGGGGATGTACACACAAGCTGAACAAGCAGCCTTGAAAGGTGAGATGTATGTCTCTGATGGAAAGGACTACTTGTTGACTTGAGCACTTAAAGTGACTTCCAGATAAAGTATCCAATGTGCTTTTTTCATAGAAATAAAGAATAGTTTTGAGCAAAGGTTTTTTCATTTTGGTTTTTGGGAGGGGGTATCTATTTATTGCTTTATTTATTTATTTGACATGAGAGTTATAATGCAGTTTGTTTCCTAAAAATACCTTGACCAGGTGGAGCAGCTGGAACTGAAAGAGAAATAATTTCTCGCAGTAATTGATAAATATAAAACCCAGCATATGCTGACCAGCAACAGAAAGTTACTTTTCTTTTGAGTGATTCCATGTTTCTGAGCCAGTGCGGATGAAGCTAATTAGGCTAGTGAAATTATCAGAAAAAATTAACATCTGAGAGAGTTCAGCATTTTCCCTGATGTGGACAAGAACTTTGTTTAGGTAGTTTGAGGAACTTAATAGGTGGTGTTGTTGCCTTCTAAGTCAGATATTAGGTATCTGATTCTTCAGAGTGTGAAGTTCACTGCGTTCAAATTGTTACAGTTCTACTTTAATCTGAACATCCATGGGATTGTTTGCAGAAGAGAAATGAAAATCAGATTCCAAGGCAATTTTTGCTGCCTAAAAGTGTTCCTGCAGTTTACTTTTATTACCCATCACTTTCTATTCATCTTAGTGATTTATATTGTTTCCTATAACCATAGTATCTCAGTGCTTTCTAAATAGAATTAATAGTAGTGATGTTCTCAGTAAACTTCTGACTCTTGCCTTTTTAGGTTAAAACTCTTATTGAAGTATGGTTTTCTCTCTTACTTTCTTTAGTCTTCTAGTCAAGGACTGAAAATAGGGTTGGGAGAAAATACTTGATACTGTGGAGGAGTGCCTTTCCAAAACTATGGTTCTGTATATTTTAGAAATAATTAGAAGCTCGTATCCCTTTAAAATTCTCTGAAAGATCATGCTGAGCTTGAATCCCACAACTGAAAATGTTTTTTTTCCAAATGCAAAAAGCTTCATGCAGATCTTTGTGATCTATATTGTTCAGGAGGCGTGTAAATTCCTAATATTCACAGGTAATAATTTAATGTACCACAGACTTGAGCTTTGGAGATTACAGTCTAGGACTTGAACTGGAATCTAAAAATAATTGGACAACAGCGCCTGAGGTGTCGCTTTGACCTAAGGAAGCAAGCAGCTGCATCCTGTACCATTTGGAGTCGTTTTCATCAGCCTCACATCATGTGAATTACAGTAATCTGTTCTAGGAATGACGGATACATGACTGGGAACGCACTTTTATTAACTGTGAGCTGGAAGCGAGGGCTGATTATTTCTTTTGTGCCCCTTCAGATTAGTTCCTAGCAGCAGGGTGAGTGGCAGGGTGGGGAGGTGCAGTTAGTGGTGCTTGGGTACTGGAGGAAAGGGCAGAAATATTAAGAAAGGAGTGCAAGATGTAGGGGGTGTACTGAGGGAGGGAACAGAGAATAACTGAGTGCTCTGGCTAGTCATATCAATTCCTGATTTTATGTATTTAAGAAGGACAACATGCCAGTTTTTATAGTGAGGTGCTAAACCTTTCTTGTGAGTACTGCGGTACTGATGATTTCTGGCTACTTAAGCTCGATGGGGAGTCAGTCACAGCTGAACATTTGTAACATTTGTCCTTTCTTCACTGAAGGCTTCCAAACATAGTCTGTTCCCCTTTTCACTCCCATCACTTCAGTCTCTCTTATACTGAGGCTGAAGCATTTTATTTTCTTGCAAGAAACATCCTCTTTTAGGTTTTTTTAGCATTTTAGGATTGCATCAGTGATGGCTGTTCGCAATATATTATTGTCATAACACTTTGTGATCTCTTCCATGGTTTTGCAAAGACCCTGAAGAAGCAAAGTATTTCATTGGATATAGACATGATAGATGAAGTCTCTAGAACACCATTTGTCCAGTACTCCCTTGAACTCTGCTGAATAAATGATATTGTTAGCGCTGGGCTGCTTACCATTGCTATTTTGGGATTATTTTGCCTGAATTCTTGCATGCCGCTTGGTGTTCATTGCTGCAGTTGTGCTAAGCCCCTGAAAGTAGCATAGTGCTAAAACAAATGAGGGAGAAAAAAATTATTTTCAGCTATAATTCTGTATTTCTACAGTGATGGGATCTCTGTGTGAAAGGGAACGTAACTGTCAGTTTGCTTTCTGAAACAGAATTTCTGCACAAATAAATATTGAGGAATCAAACAGAAGTTCCTTCCTGCCATGTACTATTGCTGTTGCCTAAGAAAATTCTTAACTGTCCGAGGAAAAATATGCAGGATACTTAAAAATCAGGAAATTATCATTAAAAACCATGAGGTAATTATTGTATTTCATAGAAGATATATAGTCCAAAGTCTCTTGTGAAACAAGGTTTTATGTTTATTTTATAATAGATGTGAAGTGTTCCCTTAGCTTGTCGTTATGTAATTAAAACTTCATGGTACGTTCTTTCAGGAAAGAATAAATCAGTATATCAAAAGTCATATAAACCACAATTACTGCAAGTATAACCTAAGAAGCAGAGCAAAAAGGCAATAAAAAAGGCCTTCTTTGAAGGTTTTTCATTATAGTTGTACTTTATCTCCTCTAGGCTTTCTTCCAAATTCCTTTCAAATATTTCTGGCTTCTCCTTTTTCCCTGCTGTCCCTTTACATTGCAGTTACTAATGTTCTTGGATCTGAGGGGAAAGTAGAGTTACTTTAAGTCAGGTACTCTTGTTTCATAGTCATCCCATCATGAAGCTGCTAAGTGATGCATTGTTTACTCCTCTTGCATCTGTGCACTGAACATACATTTTCCATGCTAACTCATATAGTCTTGAGAAAATGAGGCTGAAAGTGTTCGTCTTGGTTTAATAAAGAGTAATAATAAATTGTTTTGGTTTGTTTTTAATTATAAAACCAAATAATCTTATGTTGCATTCCCAGTTCCGGGAAAAGGACAAGGACGAGAAACTCATCCTGGCACACTTGCACTGGGATCCTGGCAAATGAGCCTAGCGTTTAGAAGCCTGCAGAGTGCTCTCAGAAGCCATTGGCTAGCACTGCCTTAAGAAAAGCATAAGGACTAAGTGTTCTTTTAAACCACAAAACGGGCACATAAGTGGGGCTGCAGTTAAATCTGTTATGAAAAACAGTCTTTTTAGGATAAATGGAATTTTACAATTAACTTTAAGATTCATGCTCAGACAGGGTTGTGTTGCTGATCCAGTCATTAAAGTTCTTTATTTTTTTCCCCGCCCTTCTAATTTTTGATAATTTTTGATGGGCAAAGCTTTGTAATTACTTTACTTATTCACAACTCCGTATGTGTCATATTTGAATGTGGTTTAACTGAACAGAGATACTTCTCATTTCACAGCCTGTACTGGAAGGAGCAATACTGTACAAAAGCAGAACAGAGATGGGTTAGTAAGAACAATCACATTTTCTGAACCAGATTTGCTTATGCATGTACTAACGTTTGCCAGGTGTTCGACAGTTGTCAGCTGTGAAAACGTGCAGTTACAAGCAGGCGTGGAAAAGTAGCTGGGTTTTCTTTTTCTTTAGACTGCACATTCACCTACTTGCAAAATTATCTGCTTTCTGCTTGTACTGTGTTTCTTCAGAACAGTAGTTCATTTTCGTTGCGTTTTAGCTGAGGTTTTGAACCAGCAAAGCTTGGTGTATGGAACTTTCAAATTGCACAAGTGAAAGTATCAATTTATACATATTTAAACTTTAAAAACTACTAATCTTTTTTTTTTGTTTTGGTTTTTAAAGTACAGTGGAAGCTACAGAACAGGAATCATTGATAATTTTTTGCTCCAGTGATCTTTAACTTACTATTCTTAGGCATGACTGAAAAAATATATGTATATATTGCAAGTAACTGAGCATAGTTGAACTGGCTTTTAAGTATTTGAGGAATGGGAAAATTTCAGTGAACGTCGTCTGTAAATTTCATTCAAGAAGACTCTGAACAGTTGAGCTATTCAGGTGTGTGCAAGTGTGAACCTCACTGCTGGACCATGTTTTTTCTGAACATTTTTCCCATACCCTTGCATTTTCCCTCCACCAGTGAGACTGTGGTTCTGAGGCACAGAGGGCTTCATTCAGCTCCTGTACTCAGGTGAGCAGGGCGTTGTTTTTCAGGGAAAGGAGAATAAGTTTTCCTCTGGTTATACTTTCCGTGCTGTCACGCTAGAGCCTTCTCAGCACTGTTCCATTCCTACCAGCTCCTGCTATCTACATTTAAGATGTGTTCTACCTCTGTTACTCTATGAAGCGCTGCTCTAGCGCCTTCACTGTGTCTGATAGGTGGGATTTGTTAATGTTAGATGCATGACTAGCGTTGCCTTGCACTCTCAGGAGCGGGCACAGATGCCAGATTGTCCATGACTGTATTTAATCATCTTCTTACTGCCCGCGGCAGCAATATGGAATCCACCAAGTCTGTGCTGCCATTTCTAGCGAGCTTTACTCTTGGGTTAATAATTAGTGAAGATAACTGCTTTCACTCTTACTGTAGCTGTTCATTACATTTTAACAAATACTTTGTTAGGTGCTTGTTCAGTGTCAGCACATAAAAATATACAGAACACTTTTAAGATAAATGTCGGCTATGACTCTGGTGCCAGGACCTTCAGCACTGATCATGACAAAAATGCTAGTGTAGCAATATTAGTGTGTTTCCTAGCTGGAAAGAGATATATCCAGCTACCTCAGGGATATCTTGAGCTCAAGGCCAATACTCGAGCTGGAGCAGGGTCCAATTTGTTGCCATGCAGCACTGTCATCATGTTTGTTACGATTCCTAGCTTCCTTAATACTGGGTTAAAAAAAAAAAAAGTACAGTCGTCATCTTGGAAAAATAGGACAGGGACAGGAAAAGAAGATTGTGCTTCTTTGTGGCATTAATAGATCAGTGATAATGAAATTCAGTAGCGGCAGACAGAGCAATAAAAAGAAACATTCTAACATCCCTTAAAAATTATTATCCCTGATGAAATAGTTGTATCACTTCCTGCTTCAGTGGTTGACAACAGCTTTATCCAATATTCATAATGAAATTCTGGAAACTGATCTGACCATGTTCATATGTTGCCTTGTCTTCCTTAAAAAATGTATTTGGCACTGGGAGAAAAGAAATTGCTGATACTGAATATTTCTATGGTTCTACTTACTGTTCAACAGGACTATTTTTGTTTGTTTGTTTGTTTTGTCCTTCTCTAGCCAACATTAAAAAAAAGTGGTGTCTTGTTCTAAAGAATATCAAATGGATAGTAAAATATCTTGTGAAGTAGGGTATTTTTTCTCCTTCCATGTATCCATGCACACCATCAGGACTTAGTTTTCATCTTTTGCCTGGTTTTCAGTGTAAAATAATGTGGACCAAACCTCCAGCTTTTGCCAAGAAGTAAGTAATAATTTTGATGTCAGATCGGATGCCAGGTTTGTGAGGGCAGCACTGCAGTCATTGGTTGATCAGTGAAACAAGAATTCCTCAGTTTAAATTCTTGAGGGAGTATTCTCTGCAAGTCACAATTTTCACAGTGAAGCTAATGCTCAAACCCATTCAAAAAAAAAACAACCACTGAAAAACCTACTCAAAAAAGAACATTTGTGCCTTTTCCCATAGTACTGTGATTATACAATATGTTTTTTTCGATGTAAATCCCACAATCTGTCCTGCTTGTGTTTTTGGAGTCTTTGATGACCAAATGTTTCAAATTGTGAAGAGTGGTTGTGGTTGGTTGAGTTTTGCACAAAAGCACATGTGGGGTCCATGTGCAACACTTAAAAACTTTGATATTAAAACCTGTCAATTAATGCTGGGACACATGTGGAGTTACCACAGGATCATTTAACTTAAAGTACTCTAAACTCTCTAACTCAATGGCTGAAACAATGTCTAGAATGTACTATTGTGTCAGTTATACTACAGCTCCTTATACAGTATTAATTGTAGATCAGAAAATCTTTCTATTCTTTAATAATTGGGCTAATGAGAATTCCCACATACATCCTAGATGGAAGAACATTTAGCTTCTTAACAACTTGATACTCTCTTATAATACCTCACAAGACGGTGTGGTTTTGTGAGAATGCTCTCACACAGCTTTTGCCTTTTGGGACTTCTCTGTTCTAGCAGTCATTTAAAGATGCAATTCACTGTCCTCTTTTCTAGGAACATGGTTAAATAACACAGCTTGGGAAGGAGGAAAGGGGAGAAATAATTGCTGTACCCATCAGAAGTAGGTCTTACACTGGCAACACAGTGAGAATGGCCTGGATTTTGGCATTGTCCACTGAGTTGTAAAATTTTCTTAGTACGTAGAGAAGGAGTAAGAATTCTGGAAATCTGTCCCTAAATTGCTGTTTAAAAAATAAAATCTAACTTACTACTAAAAAATCCTGTCTTGGAGGGTAGGAGGGAAGAGGTTTTGGTGATTTGAGCCCTCTTTCATGGTTTAGGATGTCAGAAGAATTACAGCCTTGTGTTACAGGCCGTTGCTTTGCTAGCTCTGCACTTCTGTGACTTCATAAACACAGTAAGCAATTCTGATTTTTCTAAAGATTCCATGTACATCCCCTCTGTGGAACATAGGTTGCCAGCTGGTTGGTCTGAGCAAGAGTGAGAGCGCTGGTTAACTGAGTAAGCTAAAGAAAATACAGGAAACAAGGGAAGACTTTTTGGAAGATTGCTTGCAAAATAAATGAGGAGTTCTCTTGGACGAAGGATCTTTGTCACTCTCAGTGAAGCACAAGGCTCTCTAGTGATTTAAAGCTCTAGAGTTATCAGTTTGTGTCATGTGGATTGAGATAAATAGAATTCCTAATCCTGCTAGAACAAGAAATTTCATGAACTTTAGTGGCTCTGGAAAGGAGATATCTCCCTTAAATCTTGAATTGTATCTTAGTTTGAATCTTATCTGCTCTAACTGCAGAATTCTTTCATGTGCCTTTTGTTCCTAAGGACAAAAGAAATACCAGAACTAAGTATAATACAATGCGCATGCATAACAACATGGTAGCAGCAGTGGGTTTTGCAATACACTGGAAGCTGACAAGATTCCTTACTTCCAGTGTGATACATTATGGAAGCCTTGACTATGAGTTTATCTGTTGCTGCTTTTTATTTTGTAAAAGATGCTGTGCTGTGTGTCACCAAAAAAAAAAAAACCACCAGAGAAATACCCAGAAGGCGTTGCAGGGAAATGATAGTGCAATTGATAAATTTTTGAAGTTCATGGAAGACAGAGGCCAATGAAAATTTATTTCAAAAGGATTTCAAAAGAAATGGTCAGGAAATCAAGATAGGAAGCAGGAAGGCCTCTAACTGCTCTAAAATTGGTAGAACTTGCCCCAGGACATGATCTGCAAAGGCTCTGTCAATAAAGAACTGTACTTGGGCTAGATAATAAAAGAATATAGGTGCATGTATGTCTACTGAGAATGAAAGTCAAAATTAAAAATAGAAGAGGCACCCTGAGTTGTTCTTTGCAGCAATACTTACTGAATTTTCCTTCCAGCACCCAAGAGTCGTCTCCAGAACCGTTTACTCTTTCACCTGGCACATAAGGTATGATATCTTCTTCACTCATGCTTTGTTTCTTTTCAGTTTGGCAATGTGTAATTTATGCTGGCAACCTGGCAGAATAATTAAGATGTTTGGTGGCAGGCAGGTGAACAAATGTTTTCCATAACCACCCTACTATATTAAAATGTGGAGGAGAAAGCAAGTGTGAAAACATGATCTCAGAATAGATGCCCTCAGCATGTATCTAAGGAAGGTCTTACCAACACACTTCACAGAAGTCGTATCACAGAAACCTGATGGTATTTTCAATCATGAGGAACCTGGAACTTGAATAGAATCAGAAATTTATATTTTTCATTGAAGTGTACCGAATTTTCCTAACTTACAGCTGTCTTGGACTTAGCAATATGACCAAAATTGTCTATATCCTGTTACTGATCCTCTTAAGTTATTCAGTAGCCAAGAAGTAATATTGTTTATAGTATGAAATTTACTTTAATTTCAACAACAATTAAATGCTTATTTCACTTACCACACATAGCTATCTTCCCTTAAATTTTGTTTTGTACTATCCTGTATTATACTTAACAAATATTGTGCTGCTGAAGAAACTGAGATGAAAGAAAATATAAATCCTGGGTGTTAGCTTTGATGTCAGATTCTCTGTACTTAAATCTCTGTTAAGCTTAAGGGAGAAAACTTAAAAATATTTTTGCAGTGGCACTGGCACTTACATATTATCTGTAATAAAGAGAAGTTGAGTAATTCCTAGTTTTACGAAACTATGAAACCCATTACCTTTAGCTCTGTTAAGCAACTTCTCTTTCCTTTGCACTGGAGTATCATTCTGTGACTGGCTCAAAGAGGGAGGAAAAGGATTTGGAAAAAAAAGAGCAGATAGATGAAAAACAAATACATAAGATAGAATTTGTGAGTGAGAGAAATTCATAATTACTGTTAAATCGGCAGAACCAGCAAAGGGAAGCACTGGAATAAGTGATTTGAGTAGACTGATGAGGTGAATAGCCTACATTTTACTGTTCTAATACAAATATAACAGGAACATTTAACTCTGTTCCTTGGTTTTATCCTCATGTGTATTATGTACTATGCAGCAATGCTTTTTAAAAATAGACCATTTAGTTAAAAAAGCTGGTATTGTAAGAGGATGATGAAAGAGAATTTGTTAGTGCTGTAAAGAAGTCTTGTGAAAATTAGTGCTTGTGTCTTGGCAAGTCTTGCATTTTTCTGCTGTCCATGAGCAGTAAGATTTGGATCTGCAAACAGCAAAATTTCCGCTGGCTCAAATAACAGTCAGATCTTGTATTGCAAAATTCTGTTTGTGAAATAATTAATCAAGCTCTTCTCCTCTTATCCATCAAGGCATGTGGCATGCAATTATGTCTAAATCATACCTTGAAGGAAAATGTGTACTTAGTTTTAGCCTCACATTTATCTAGTTTCAACTGGTCTGCCTCTTTAATGTTTGGCTTTCTCCATTGGTCAAATTAACTTTAAAATAACAGAGTTTTTCCAGATGTTTAATATGAATCACCTGCTGCTTGCCAGCAAGGACAAAACTAATCCAGCTAATTAAAACATTTTTCTTGCTGAACTCTTCTGAGAATATGTCGCACTCTTTTTAGTTCAACGATGAGAAGAAACTGATGAGCTCTCACCAGAATCTGCAAGACATTACAGAAGATCAGCTTAGCTTGGCCTCCATCCACTACATGCGGTCCCACTACCAAGAAGCTATTGATATCTACAAACGCATTCTTCTTGATAATCGGTGGGCATCTCTACACTAAATATTATTGCACGGTCTGGTATCTGATTTCCATTTAGTTGTTTGGTTTCTGAAAGTAGGAATTTTCCCCAATTGCTGTGTCCCTTTCCCATCGCAAAATGTGCGCAAGTTGCAGCCCCCTCAGTTTTGTTCATTGTAAAGCATTATTGAGAAAATCATGTTTAAAAAGTCTGTTCTCTGATGCTTTCTTTTAATGATATTTTCCTGAAACTAATTGAAGTCTTGCATCTTCTGAAATGATAAACAGTTGTGTACCTGCTTTATCTTTTTCTTTATTTTCATCTGCTTGCTTGTGATTATTGTCTTCTCCTTCACCTTTTAGCCTTTCTAAGAAAACTTCCATTTAAAGAGTAGAGTTCTTTGCATTCCTTTAACTCTGATTTTTTTTTCCATTTCTATTTATCCTGCTATAACACTTGCTGATGTTTTTTCCTATCATATTGTGCAATATTTTAGTTCAAAATTTAACAAGGAACAAATCGAATTCTTAAGTATTGTTTAATAAAATAGAAACTGCCATCCCAGCATACAGTCTTGACATGATCTCGTCTTGAATGATTCAGAGAAGTCCATCATAATGTATGTAAGTATGTTATGTAATGCTTGGGGAAGAGTTTTTGACTTCTAAGTCATGTAGAAGCAATCGCTCAAAGCTAAATGAGTAACTTTCATAACAATAATCCTTTTACTTACTTTTTCCACAAATGCCTGTCTTATTTCTGTGTCTAGTTCTTCTGGCTTGATAGCTTGTTATGGCAAGGATTTGTTTTAAATAATCATACTTGGTATAAGATAATAAGATCCATTAAAATATTTTCAAAGTTTTATGTGCGTATTAAATGTCTATGCATGTATTGCATAGAAAATCCTACTCTGCCAGGCCAAACACAGCGCTCATGTTCTGGGCTTTTCCTCAGTGTGAAGTTGCCACCATTTCCCAGATTTGCAAACCAAAGGTTTTCTACTTCTCTAAAGCTGCAGTAGGTGCCATTGAAAACAATAGCTGGAATCTGGATCTGAATCTGTGCAATGTCAGCTAACAAATTAGAGTCCTAAAAGCTCTAAGCATTTCTCAGCAAACCCAGTTGTGATGTCCTTGTAAAAAGATGTATAGACATGCGAGAGCTTTATCGCTGATTTTAACGTTCTGTAGTATAACGATCTGGAGGGACTTGAATGTTCTCTTTAATCCTCTTTCCTGCAGGGAATACCTGGCTCTGAATGTATACGTGGCCCTGTGCTATTACAAACTGGAATACTACGAGGTATCGCAGGAAGTGCTAGCTGTGTATCTTCAGCAAGTTCCCGACAGCACCATTGCTCGTAACCTTAAGGCTTGTAACCATTTCCGACTTTACAATGGGAAAGCAGCTGAGGTATCTATCAGACAGCCTCTCTGTTTAGCTTGACTTTAGTTCAAGATTCTGTACAGGTTTCTTTTCTTTGTTATCTGTCTTAATCAGCATTGTTGGTAATGGTCTTGTCACTGTGTCCTTCTCTTAGGAAGGCCGCCTACTGCAGTTTCCCTGGTATTAAGCCATCTGTCCCCATGTATGCACAGTGGTCTTAACCCTTTTCTCAGTCCATTTTGACCTTCTGTCTATATGTATTAACCAATTGCTAAAATCATCGCATGGAAGTGGGAAGCAAAAATCTTCCAGTGACCCAGTACTGCTGGAGATGTCCTTCTGTCAGCCTTGGGGCTCATATGAGCTCCGTTTACGCTTGTGTGCTTTTTGGTTTTCATGGTAAAATTTTGGAATGTATGTCATTCCAGGCAGAGCTCAAGAACTTGACAGACAGTGCCTCATCGTCTTTTGAATTTGGCAAGGAGCTTATTAAGCACAATCTGGTGAGTAGTGTATATTTCTCTGATTTAATATGAACTGCACTCATTTGTAGAGCTTTACTTGATGACTAATAAAAGGGAATATTTTGAAATCTGCAGACTCTGTTGAATCTCTGCTGCCATATCTGTCCCATTGCAGATTGTATAATCAATGTGCCATCAAGTGTATTCTTTTCCCTGGAATTTTTCCCTATCAGTTGAGACTGTGTCAGGAAAATAATAATAATAATGTTGGTTTTATCCCCAAAGGCATGTTAAAAGAATTTATGTCCTGTAAGAATACCTTTGCGAAGTATTTTGTAGAGCCTAGACAATAAGGACGTTGTAGAAACGAGTCTGAATACGTGACCCTGAACTCTTATTTAGTAAGATAATAATGTCAGTGGAATTAAGATAACTTGGGAAAATGTTCTTCATCCAAAAAGTACTTAACAAGGAG